GCATGCATGCATTATTGCTCCCGTTCACCATGCATGAAGCCTTCTTCGTTGCATCTCTAGCAGGAAGCAACTAGTAGTAGTTTTCAGTTCCAAGCTAAGAGCGAGCAGCGAGCTCGCTAGGCTGCTAGCTAGTAGTTGATCAATAGCTAGCTTTAATTAGTGGCACGATGGCGGATAGTGCCCAAGTAGAGGGAGGAACGGCGGTGGATCCGGCAAGCCGCCGGAGCGGCGGCCTAATACCACGCATGCTCAGGCGGCGTACTCCCACACTCACGCTCGTGCGTACGAGTACGCTCTAGTATACACGCACGCTCGGGCGTCCGTTTCGCTGGCTGTGAAGGGCTCAGGCCTCCTGGCTCTCTTGTTGTCCACGGTTGTCCTCCTTGGCGGCTTTGTCCCCTCGCTCCTCCTGGCTCTCTTGTTGTCCACGGTTGTCCTCCTTGGAGGCTTTGTCCCCTCGCTGCGGAAAACGGATTTCTTCTGCATCACAGTCATCAGCATCATACAGGCAGCCGGGTCACTAATCTCCTCTTATTTGATTGCTCTGCATCTATCTATATGTTCTCTCCAAGTACTTCACAATACAACAATTAGTATCACTCCAAGTACTTTACATGAGTGTTCAGCGGTTTTAGCACGTCTACATGACACTCCGATAAATTTATGGGATTTTATTTACAACACAGAGCAACATATAAAAATATATGTGCCTATTGAGTAATTTAACTGCAGAAAAAGTACAGGGTGATTTATTTTATTCTAATTTAAAGTACATGTTACGAGTCTAACAAAATCGGATTTATAACTTTTGGACAGTTCTATAAATAATACTGAATTTACAAGTTACAACACAACTAAATAAGTTTGAGAATCTAAACGGGTGATTTGCAAGTTTACGGACCGACGGGATGACACAGCCGGACACGCTTGATGACTTAAACGAGCGATTTGCGAGTTTAGGGAACCGAGATGACACAGATGAACAAGTTTGAGGACCGAAACGGTAGATTTGCGAGTTTATGGATCATGATGACACAGCCGAGCAAGTTTGAGGACCACTAGTATTGGTTAAAAAAATATATGTATTTCCCACTACCATTTTGTTTCTCCCTCACCGGTACCATTGTGCTGACGTGGCAATCCAACTATTCTTAATAACACAACTATTCTTAATAACACACTGAGGCGCCATTAGAAACTTTTTTTAAAAAAAGGATCCCCACTTGATTCATTCACATTTTGTCGTCACAAGTAGCAATGCATGTGCGGTACACGTGTGTTTTATGGTTGCTATAGGCGGCGTCCAAATCCCAAAATGATATAGATATCTGATCACATGTATTAGTATAGAAGTCACCTTCACTTGATGACAAACAAATATTGGTTAAAATTAAAACATGATTCAATGATTTATTACATGATTATATATTAAATGTATATAGACGTATATGCAAACAAAACTACAGAAATAAGGAAGAACACAATGAATCAACGGAAGTTTGTTGTCATTATAATTTAATTTGGTTCAATGCAATTAACTTTGCCAGCTTCAGCCTTCGTACGAACTCAATTCTGGCCCGAGATGTGTCTCCTTATCATCAGATAATGTAGCAACGAGCTGATCTTGATCATAGATTAGTTGGTTGGATTCTTTTGGTGAAACTTGTCTACCTGGTTTCAAGTCCTCGATTTGACACGGGTGCTCGTATTTTTCTGAAATTATTACATGATTTAATGGCACTATGCTTTCAGTGCTAAATGATGTCTCCGACAGCGAGGTGCATGTGGTGACTCTCGGTCCTTCAGAGTTGCTCATAGGGATAGGTTTACGTACGTGTGTTCAGGTGTGAGTGTGTGGGTGTTGTGGACGTCAATGTTATACTATGTAATTCTAAAAAAAATCAAATAATGTAGCATATTTCTCCTTGAACGTTAGCGTCTAAGACCACACACTTTGCTCCAATCCCGCGTTAGTTCCTCTCCTCTATAAATCTTAATAATTAATAAAAATTATGTAATAATATTAATGATTGAAGATTGATATGTAAAAATTATCCAATTATAACGTGATATAAGCTACTTATTACCCCTTATACATTATTCACCTCACTGGATGGGAAAGGATGCAACGACCAGGGGGACGATCACCAAAGGCACCAATTGAGTTGCTCTCCTCTACAAATCTTAATGATCATTAAACAGTATATATTAATTTTAATCATTGAAGGTTGACACGTAGAAGTTATCCTATTATAACTTCAATTAATAAGCTACTTACCCCGACGGTGGTTTGCTGACAATTCCTTTGATGAGAGTGCAGAGATCAATTAATAGTATAGATTAGCTCGCTCGCACATCGGACAATAGGATCAAACATGGTGATCTAATCTATCATGTTTTGTTCACATCAAGATTGATTTCGGTGACAAATGTGACATACAAGGACGGGGAATCAATCGGATCTCTCTCCCTTGCGAAATTGTGATGCAAGGAAACCATCACAACTAGAATTTTAGACTTCTCCTAATGAGGTGGAGTTCTTCTAGTGTTTTGGCATTCAAAATTTAGTATAAATTTTTCCTACTAAATGCCTCCTAGTGAGTTTTCTATATGCTATGACTAGTGGTAGTATTTTATTATTACTTGAAAACACTAGGAGAATTTCACCATTTTGATAGTGCATATGCATGGGACCCGTACACATAAGTACCCGCCGTAGCTGAGTTCAGAACGGATTCGCATGGAATCGAATATAGATAGCGCAAATTGGAATATGAATACACATATTATCAGATATGAATACAAAACAAATGTCTCGAATTCAGACATCTACTAGATTTCTGTTTGCTTATCGATAGTTTTAGTAGAACAAAATCATTATTCATGTAGAGATTTAAAATATAATTATATAACACCTATAGATATTGACAAATCATAAATATCATATATAATAAATAATTCAATAATTAAATATATAAAAATTTAATAAAATTATAGACAAATATTTATCAATAAATAGTTCAAATATATAAAATAATTTCATCAATAAATATGATTAGTCATGAAAATTTACTAAAATTAACCTTTATATATCAATAATAATAATAATAATACTGATAATAAATTATACAATGTTGTTAGCCACATAGATATGTTTTAGATGGTTTAGCATGTACTTTGTTATTCGTGGACACGAACAATGTGAGGTATTTCACTTTTTTAAATATGGATTTTGAATCGGATAGAGAAAAATCAAAAAATAAAATAAATTCAGATACATCCATTTAGTATACATTAGAATCAATTACAAAAATGATTTAAATATGAATGCATATGTCTATAGTAACATTAAAGCGGATATGGTTAACGGATTTTTTGGACTTTTTAAGATTCAGATCCACCCCTTAGTTCTGGCTATATGGCATTGTACCACCATCGATCCTTGTCCTAGGAGTCGATGGGGTTTGATCCTTAGCTTCTGATGATGGCCGACACCGAGCTTGGAGAAAGGCTGTCATTTGCCTATAGATGGCCAAACAGGTCAGGCCTGATGGGCTAGTAGTGGCACAAGCACAACCCTAAAAGGCACGACCCTAACACGACCTGGCGGGCATGACTCAGATAATGCACTGGCACTGTGCTGGTCCAATCATTCCTAGCCGTTGGATCGCCCCAGAGTAAATGAACACCGTTAGATACAATATATAGAGTATATAAATGTCTTTAACTCCTAGATATCCTGGATTCCCTGGTCCCTGCTCCCTCCCTCCGCCTCTTTCTTTCTGTCCCAAGAAGACCGCTCGAATGTGTGGCCCTAGCCTCAGGCGTGGCGGCGCGGCCTCGCACGCGTGGGCACGCTGCCTCAGGCACGACGATGGCCTCGTGCGGCAACAGCAAAGGCCTCGCACGACGGTGGCGACAGCCTCGTGTGGCGGTTGCAACGACGATGGGGGCGATGGCTTGCTCAAGGGGCGGCGTGGTAGCGCGACAGCTTGAGCGATGCATGGCGGTGACAGCGTGGCTACGTACAGTGACCTCGGACAGGCATGGGCCCAGCGGGCCGTCGCGCCGATGGCACGGCACGGCTAAGTCCCTGTATCGATGTCAGTTGTGCGCCCGTGCATGTGCCGAGGATTGGGCATGGTGGCTCGGCACGGCATGACACTTAGACATAGTGCCTAATAGTGCCATGCCGAGTAATGTCAGGGTAAGGGTCGAGCCGTCCGTTTGGACATCTATACATCTTGCAGGAACATGGAAAGCGAGGCACGTACCCACGCCCACACGGGTTCGGGGTTCCCTGTTTGCATGGTACACCGGCCTGGGATTTAGCTCCTCCGCTTTCCCAATGTTCCGTGGTGGCTTCGGTGGCCTAATTTTGATAATACCCTGCGCGTTGCTGCGAAATTTGGTAGTGCTATAAAATAATAAAATTTATGGAGAAAGAAATAAGAAAATTTAGGTGAACAATGAATAATAACGTCAATATGTTAGTTGACTCTATTGTACAAACTACAGCAGCATATATGGCCGGGACGTCTATGCTACCGCCTACCAGCACCAAAATGGGAGAATAGCCCACTGAAAATGACTAAGAAGCTCGACAAAATGCCTATCAGTCAAACTGTATCTCTTATAAAGAATGTGTGGTCACGTGAAAAGCTATAGATAGCAATCCATTATGAATAAGTAATGATGCAAATACAAATCATTCTATCTAAAAAGGATGTGATAAAAAAAAAGTAGTGTACGAAAGTTAGCATTGCTTAGGGTGTCACCTGGAGCTTATCAGATAGCAAATAGCACATGAGTAACATGGAGAACATTGGGTTAGGAAAATCATCCACCTGATGAAACTGAAACTGAAGGATAAAATGGGAAGGGAAATGATACTTAATTTTAAAGGCAAGCTGTAGGAATCAAATCAAATAGTAAATTACTAATTTGTTTAATCTAATTGGGCCAGCATGCTGAAGTAGGGGATTGCTCCTTCTATTCCCATGCCTGCGAGATGGGTTCAAGTAGAGACGGGAAAGGAATGGAAGCTTGGTGCAGCCTTCAGGCTTCAGCGCTGGCAGGTACTAACTGACAATGGACGATAAAGGATAGTACGTATTTACAACCATAGGACCAACCGCGCCATTGCGGCCAAAGTCAACTAATCTCGGTCAGAGAGAACCTTTGCACCTATGTCTAATTAATTAGGAATTCAGCAGCTAAAGTACATGGGGCCTCATCCGCTCCTCCACCTTGTCCGCTCGCCTCTTCTCTGTCGACGCCGGCTCCGACTTCTTCTTGGCCTAACGCAAAGCCAGGTGCCTCCACTATCCTTACGTTCATCGCCACCATCCACGACGCCAGCCATGTCCTTCTACTCTCCTTGGGACTTGGGTCTTGGCCTTTTGGCTAGGGTGTGGCCTGTTAGATAATTTACTGCTATCTTGTGTGAACACAGTAAGGGAAGGTAGCGCTGAAAGACCCTCTGCTGTAATACTGTAGCCGCTGCAGGTGCAGACGCCACACGGTTCACCTGCAGCACTGTAGGCACATGCAGTGGCCGGCGCAGAGTCAGCCCTGTATGTTATCTAGTCACTGTTACACCAGGGCAGCTGTACTGGGACTAGATGGATAGAGTTGTATAAATAGACTACCACGACAACTCAGTAAATAGAGTTCAGATTTGCTATCTTCTAGACAGGGCTTCGGCCAACGCTGGTGTCTTGTACTGTGTGTGTATGCTCTATTCTCCCTTCTTCTTCTAGCTCTAGCCATAGTGCGTGGGGACGGACAACGCTTGTTCGTGGTCGGCACAGCTAGTGGGTGCTCGGCAACACTAGCGGGTGCTTGGCAAGATCGGTGAGTGGTTTACTCACCTGAGCCGGTGATCCTGTGGGTCAACAAGTGGTTCCTCTGCACTGACGAGTAGCAACTCTGCGTCATTGAGCAGCCTACCCGCCAAGCCTGAGGGACCTGTGCCACCGACGATATCGTCTAGCCTGCGGAACCGCACCTCCTCACCTTCGTGGTAGGCGTCCACGAACTCAGTGATGTCACTTGGAGGTGAGGCAAACTCGATCGGCGTCGAAGGAGTTTCCTATTCCGCCAGAATGCTTGGCAGAACACCTGGAGTGCTCGGCACCCTAGATGTAGTGCTCGGCACTACTTCTGGTCTCCTCGTCATAACTCCTGCAATGTTCGGTCACACTGTAAGAGTGCCCAGCCTCAGTCTTGAGTGGTTGGCACCACTATAAGACGTCTTGGCTCCGCCACAGGAGTGCTCGACACCTATCCTGGAGTGGTCGTCACCACTGCAGAACCTCTCGACACCACTCCTGGCATGCTCGGCATTCCTCCAGGAGTGCTCAGCAACACTAGCGGGTGGTCGGCAAGACCGGTGAGTGGTTCACTCACCTGAGCCGGTGATCCTGTGGGCCAACAAGTGGTATCAGAGCTATACAAGCGTCGTTGCCAGACTAACCGCTGGCGATTCGAAGATGGGCGACAACAATGGCACTACTATGGCTACCCAGCCACGACCAGAGGTCATTATTCACATGGTGCGGGAGGTCAGTGGCACCAGTTGGCCGACGTTGACTCGCACCAACTATGGAGAGTGGTCGATGACCATGAAGGTCAAGCTCAGAACCCGACGGCTCTGGAATGCTGTTGACAAGGGCACCGACAGTGAAGAAGATGACATATCAGCATTAGAGGCTATCCTCGCTGCTGTACCGACGGAGTACAGGGAGCCGTTGGAGGCGAAGAGCTCGGCTAAGGAGGCGTGGGAGGCTATTGCGGCGATGTGCATCGGTTCCGACCACGCAAAGAAGGCGACGGCCCAGCTTCTGAATCAGAAGTACGCCAACCTCAAGTTCAAGGATTTTGAAATGGTGGAGGACTTCTCCCTCCGCCTACAGACGCTCATCAACAAGCTGAAGAGCCATGGCATCACCATCGACGAAGAGGAGGCGGTCTCTAAGTACCTCCACTCCGTGCCGGCAAAGTACATCCAGATCGCTCTCTCCATAGAGATGATGTTGGACTTGTCCACCCTCACCATTGAGGATGTGACAGGCCGTCTGTGGGCGGTGGATGAACGTCTAGAGCAGGCGACAACAACGAAGGACAGCGGAAAACTCCTGCTGTCAAAAGAGGAGTGGGCTGCTCGGAGGAACTCCGGGAATGCAGCCTCCTCCAGCCACGGTGGCGATGGCAAGCGCCACGGCAAGGCTTCTTCAGAGAAGAAGCAGGTCGACCCCATCGCCTGCCGGCGTTGCAGGAAGATGGGCCATTGGGCACGGGAGTGCCCAAACCGCAAGCAGGAAAAGAAGGCTCATGCTCATCTGGCGCAAGCCGATGATGAGGATAAGGCCACTATCCTAATGGCGATGTTTTGTGCACTACACGACGTCAAGGCCGAGGAGAGGGAAGAGGCGACGTCGGTGGAAGGACCTAGGAAGGCCCAGAAGACTGTCAACCTCGATGAACAATGCACCCAAGTCCACCTCGAACGTGTGGGCGCCGACCAGGAGCAGCGGTGGTATCTGGACTCTGGTGCCAACAACCACATAACAGGCTTCGAGGAATCCTTCTCCGAGCTCGACGACGATGTTACCGGTACGGTGAAGTTTGGTGATGGCTCACGGGTGGCTATCCAAGGGCGCGGCACCATCATCTTCAGGTGTCAGAACGGGGAGCACCGCACGTTAACGGATGTATATTACATCCCGCAGCTGCGTTCCAGCATCATCAGCATTGGTCAGCTGGATGAGCGCGGTAGCGAGGTACTGATCAAGGACGGAGTCCTTAGGATCAGAGACCAAGAGCAGCAACTTCTTGCCAAGGTTAAGAGGTCCCGGAACTAGTTGTACCTGCTCGACCTGAAGGTAGAGCAGCCGGTGTGCCTAGCGGCAAGGCACTCCGAGGAACCGTGGATGTGGCATGCCCGGTTCGAACATCTCAGCTTCGACGCGCTTGGTCGGCTAGAGAAGATGGTCCGAGGGCTACCCCACATCAAGCACGGAGGCGAGCTGTGTGACAGCTGCCTGATCGGGAAGCAGAGGAGGCTACCATTCCCAAAGGCGACCAAGTTTCACGCAAAGGACGCACTCGAGCTCATCCATGGCGACCTCTATGGGTTGATCACGCCTGCTACAAACGGTGGTCGGTGGTACTTCCTCCTGCTCGTGGATGATTGCAGTCACTACATGTGGCTACAACTCCTGACAAGCAAGGACGAAGCGGTGGCGGCGATCAAGAAGTTCAAGATGCGCGTGGAGGCTGAGGGCGGCAAGAAGCTCCGTGTGCTGAGGACTGATCACGGTGGTGAATTTACTTCGGTGGAGTTCGCTGCGTACTACGTGGATCAAGGTGTGGGGCAACACCACACCGCGCCATACTCGCCACAACAGAATGGCATGGTGGAGAGGCAAAACCAGACAGTGGTTGGCATGGCCCGATCCATGATGAAGGCCAAAGACATGCCGACAAGGTTCTAGGGAGAGGCAGTGACCACAGCGGTGTTCATCCTCAACCGCTCTCCGACCAAGGCCCTGACGGGCAAGATGTCGTTCGAAGCTTGGTATGGGCGCAAGCCGAGCGTGTCCTTCCTTCAGACATTCGGTTGCATCGGCCATGTCAGGAAGACGAAGCCGAACCTCACCAAGCTAGAGGACAGGAGCACACCCATAGTGTTCCTGGGCTACACGGAGGGTATCAAGGCGTACCGACTCTACGACCCATGTGGAGACAAGGTGCTTGTCTCGCGCGACATCGTGTTCAACGAGGAGGCAGCTTGGGACTAGAGCAGTCTGAGCATGGGGGAAGCTGGCGGCTTCACCAACACCTTTGTTGTCGAGCACTTGGTCATCCACGGTGGTGGAGACGCTGGGGAAGAGGTGCCGAGCACTCCAGGAGGAGTGCCAAGCACTCCGGCGGTAGAGCCGAGCACTCCTGGGGCAATGCCGAGCACTCCAGGAGGGGTGCCGAGCACTCCTGGAGGGATGCCGAGCACGCCAGGAGTGGTGCCAGGAGGTTCTGCAGTGGTGGCGACCACTCTAGGACAAGTGCCGAGCACTCCTATGGCAAAGCCAAGATGTCTTATAGTGGTGCCAACCACTCCAAGACTGAGGCTGCGCACTCTTTTAGTGTGGCCGAACACTACAGGAGTTATGACGAGAAGACCATAAGTAGTGCCGAGCACTACATCTGGGGTGCCGAGCACTCTAGGTGTTCTGTCGAGCACTCTAGTGGAACAGGGAACTCCTTCGACGCCGATCAAGTTCGCCTCACCTCCAAGTGACATCACTGAGTTCGTGGACACCTACCACGAAGGTGAGGAGGTGCGGTTCCATAGGCTAGATGACATCGTTGGCGGCACAGGTCCCTCAGGCTTGGTGGGTAGGCTGCTCAATGACGCAGAGCTACTACTCGTCAGTGTAGAGGAACCACCCATGTTCGCGCTAGCCGAGCGCGATGGAAACTGGCGGCGGGCGATGCTGGAGGAGATGAAGGCGATCGAGGAAAACAAAACTTGGCAGCTCGTCGATCCACCTCCAGGATGCCGTCCGATCAGCCTGAAGTGGGTGTACAAGGTCAAACGGGACGAGCTCGGCGCCGTTGTCAAGCACATGGCGCATCTCATCGCCCGAGGCTTTGTTCAGCGCTAGGGTATAGACTTCAAGGAGGTCTTTGCACCTATAGCGCGCATGGAGTCGGTTCATTTGCGACTAGCTTTGGCAGCAGCAAAGGACTGGCGCGTCCATCACTTGGACATTAAATCAGCCTTCCTCAACGGTGAGCTGGCGGAGACGGTCTTCATCAGGCAACCTCTAGGTTTCACCATCAAAGGAGAGGAGCACCTGGTGCTCCGACTGCGTAAGGTGCTCTACGGGCTTCGGCAGGCCCCACGAGCATAGAACGCCAAGCTTGACACCACGCTGGGTGAGCTTGGCTTTTAGCGGTGCGCAACCGAGCACGTGCTCTACACGCGGCAACGGGGGAAGGAGTAGCTCATTGTCGGCGTGTATGTGGATGACTTAATCATCACTGGCGTGTGCACGGAGGACATCAACAGCTC